AATAGTAGAAAGAAAAATCTCAAATCAATAACCTAACCTTGCCCTGTAAGACACTGGAAGAAAAAGAGCACAATAACCATAAAACAAGCAGAAAAAAGGAAATAATAAAGATTACAGTAGACATTAATCAAATATAGATTAATAGAAAAATAGATTATAGATTAATAGATTAATTATAGATTAATCTAATAGATTATAGATTAATAGAAAAATAGAGAAAATCAACAAAAGCAAAATGTTCTTAAAAGATTAACAAAATCTCTAGCTAAACTTACTACCAAAAAACAGAGAGAAGACTCATCTTACTAAAGGCAGGAATAACTAGCAACCTTTCAGAAATAAAAAGAATGTAAGAAAATACTACGAACAATTCAATAATCTAAATGAAATGAAAAAATTCCTAGAAAGACGCAAACTACCAAAAGTGGATAAAGAAGCAATAGAAAATCTGAATAAACCTATAAAAAGTAAAGAGATTAATTAGTAATAATAATTTTAAAAAGCTATGCAAAAAGAAAAGCCCAAGACCAGATGGCTTCAGTGGTGAATTCTATTGAACATTTAAAGAAGAGTTAGTACTGATACTGTTACAGCAAACAGGACTGGGGAAACAAACCGGAGAGCCACCCAAGAGTGCTACAAAAGAGGCTTTTTATTACGTGCAGGCTTAGAGGGGTCTTGCCTCCAAAATCTGAGCAAATGGGGTTAAAAATATGCTGGCTTTTATACGCTTTGTTATGAGGAAGTTGGTGGTTACAGAAGGAAAAAAATGGTTATAAGCCTTGCATGCGATAAGGGTTACAAAAGTTGCTTAACCATGCCATTTTGCAGTTCTACTATTATAAGATAGAAGTTACAAAGTGTGTATTAGGCCAAGGTTTAGTCAGGTGCTTCTCTATAGTTGTATGACTATGCTATTATTAGGAGGGGAGTGCAAAATTTTTCCCTTACAATACTTCACGAACTCTTCCCAAAAATAGAAGGGGAGAGAATAATTCTCAACTTATTTTATGAAATTAGTATAACGCTGATACCAAAACTGGACAGAGACATCACAAGAAAAGAAAGCTACAGGCCAATATCTCTCATGAATGTAGACACAGATATCTTCAACAAAATTTAGCAAACCTAATTAAGCAACATGTAAAAAACCTAACATGTCATGACCAAGATACACAAATGATTGTACAACATGACCAAGTGGGATTTAACCCAGGAATGAAAGATTAATTCAACATCCCCAAATAATATAGTATACATATTAACAGAATAAATGTTTTTAAAAACACATGATCATCTCAATAGTCGCTGAAAAAGCATTTAATAAAATAAAATTTTCTTTCATGATAAAAAAAAATATATAACAATGCATAGAAGAGAACATCCTCAATCTGAAAAAGGATGTTTATGAAAAACCCATCATCCTTCAAAGGGAAAATCTAAATGTTTTCTCTCCTAAAATCAGGAATAAGACAAAAGTGACTGACTGTCTTATTCTCACCACTTCTGCTCGGTATTGTACTGGAAGTTCTAGCCAGGGCAATTAAATAAGAAAATGAAACAAAAGGCATCAGATTATAAAAGAAGAAGTAAAACTATCTGTTTGCAGATGCTGTGATCATATGTATAGAAAATCTAAAAGAATCTTCTAAAAATTATTAGAACAAATAAATTAGTTCAGCATGGTTGCAGGGTATAAAGTCAACATACAAAAATCAACTGTATTTCTCTACAATAGCAATGAATAATCCAAAAAATAAAAGTAAAATAATAATTCCAAATAAAAGGATATCAAAAAGAATAAAATACTTAGAAATAAATTTCACAAAATAAGTATAAAATTTATACTCTGAAAATGACAAAACACTGCTGAAAGAAATTAAATAATACCTAATTAGATGGAAAGACATTTTGTGTTCATGCATTGGAAGAATTAAGATGGCAACACTCTGTAAATTAATATATTGATTCAACACAATCCCTATCAAATTCAAACTGACTACTTCACAGAAATAGAAACGCTGATCCTGAAATTCATAATAAATTTAAGGGACCTAGAATAGCCAAAACAATCTTGAAAAAGAAGAAAAAAATTGGAAGACTCTCACTTTCCAATTTTAAAAGTTACTGCAAAACTACAGTATTCAAGACAGTGTGATACTATCATAAGGATAGATATAAATCTACACTTCTGTCTGTGAATAGAATTTAGAGTCAAGATTTTATCCTTACATTTATGGTCAACTGATTTTCAACAAGAGTGACAAGACAATTTAATGGAGGAAAGAATACTCTTTTTGACAAATGGTTCTGGGACAACTGGGTATCCATATGCAAAAGAATGAAATGAAATCCCTACCTCACATCATGTATAAAAATTAACTCAAAGTGGATCAACAGACTAAATGTAAGAGCTAAAAGTAGAAAACACTTAGAAGAAATTATAGGCATAAATCATCATGACCTTGAATTAGACAATGATTTCTTAGATATAACACCAAAAGCCCAAGCAAAGAGAGGGAAAAAATAGATAAATTGGACTTTACCAAAATCAGAAGTTTTTGTGCTACCAAGAATACCATTAACAAAGTTAAAAGACAATCCACTAAATAGCAGAAAATGTTTTGCAAATCATATATCTGGTAAGAGATAAAGAGCTCTTAATGACTCAATAATAAAATAAAAATAACCCATTGAAAAATGGGCAAAGGATTTGAATAGATATTTTTCCTAAGAAGACATACAAGAGGCCTATAAGCACATGAAAATATACTTGACACCATTTGTCATCGGAGAAATACAAATCAAAACTATAATGAGATACCACTTCACACCTGCTAGAATGGTTATAATTAAAAAGACATTTTAAAAAGTGTTGATGCAGTTAGAACCCTAATACACTGCTGATAGGAGTATAACATGGTAAGTCCATTTTGGCAAACAGTCTGGCAGTTTCTAAAAAGGTTAAACATGGAGTTATAATAGTACCCAGCAGTTTGACTCCTAGGTATATATCCACAAGAAATGAAAATATATTTTTACACAATCACTTGTACGTGAATGTTCATAGCAGCATTATTCATGATAGTCAAAAAGTGCAAATAACCCAAATGTCCATCAACTGATGAATGAATGAATGAATAAAATGTGGTATACTTATACAGTGGAATACTATTCAGCCATAAACAGGAATGGAATACTACATATGCTACAACATGGGTGAACCTTGAAAACATCATGTTAAGTGAAAGAAGCCAATCACAAAGGACCACATGCTGTATGATTTTATTTATATGAAATGTCCAGATTAGGCAAATCTATGGAGACAGAAATCTGGGAAACTTGGAAATAAATGGAGAGTGACTGCAAATGGGTATGGGTTTGTTTTCTGTTTTCGGAAGTAATAAAAATGACCTAAAATTGATTGTGGTGAGGGTTGTACAACTCTGTGAACATACTAAAAAATCATTGACTTCTATTCTTTAAATAGGTGAACTGTATGGTATATGAATTATACAAATAAAATTGTTAAAGCTCAATGTAGCTGTTATATATAAAAATAAAAGATAATTGGGACATGTTTCATTTGTGTAAAATATGTGCATTCCTGCTTTGAAGTTATTAAAATGTCCCAGAAACCAGCTCACTATTCCCTACTGCTCTGAGCTTCTCTGGAAAAATGGTTCATGACAGTAAAGACTATTTTTAGCTTTAAGTAATTAATTAGAAGAGGAACTAAAATCAGACCGTGGTCCAGTCTCTCACTTTTGGTCAAATGGGGACCGGCACAAGGTCGGCCACTGAGAGTGAGCATTGAATTTTAGAGCAAGAGGGAACTTTAGAGACTACCTAAGGAGTGCCACATAGAAGATTTTTTTGTGTCAGTGTGGGTTCTCTCATAGCAGACTTTGATACACAGACTTGGGTTCAGGTAGTTTACTTGGGTGGTTATCCCAGAAAACACGAGTGAGAAGTAGGGAAGCAAGACACAGAAAGGAGAAAATGCAATAAAACATGGATTACAATATAGACGATTGCAGCTCGATTCTGCTGAAGATGCTTTGAAAAGACATCTAGAACACAGCTCAGAATTGCCCACAGTAGAGAGACTGAGGCATGTATTCACCAGCTTGCATCTCCCCCTGGCTGGGGACTGCCTCTGGAGTCATTAACTCTCCCACACTTCTGGGGTGTGCCTACTAGCCATAGAACAAGCTTCTGCTGAAGAACTCCTGCAGGCTTAGAAAGAGAGATGCAGATGGCTGAGGGAGAAGCTGGCAGCTTTCTGGGACTGGCACTACAACTGCAAATGAGCAGAGGTGGGCTGTGGGAATACAGGATGGAGAAGCAACATCTACTACAATGTCTTATATGGCTTGATAGACAGAAACAGGGGTGGGATCGCTACCATTTCCTTGGCTCAGAAGGCAATTTCCTACTGGCCTTACCTGCCCTGCCTTGTTCTGAGAGCAAATTTCCCTTCATTATCATGCCCACCCCCAAAGTGACCAAGTCCCTTTGTGTTCTGTGAGGCTTATGAATGTCTGGGATCTTTACACTAGCAGCTTGTCTACAGGAGATGGGTCCATCTGGAACAGCGGAGGGGTTTAGGCAGAATCTCATGGACAACAACAAACATCACTTCTATCCAGATGTTCGATGTCCCATGGGTTAGTCACAGGAAGCTTGTAGGACACACACACAAGAGAGGGACATACTAGCTTGGTGCAAAGTCATCTTTCTCATAGCTTCTTGATGCCTTAAAGGTACCTTCTTCCCCAGCCTAGCTCTCAGTTTCTCCCTCTTTTTACCTTACTGTGAATCTTAGTTACTCAGAGAACTCATTCTTCTCCCTGAAATCCAAGTATCTCTGTACCATACGCCCATTTGTTAGTGGCAAAACAGTTTAATAACATAGATTCATACTTGAATATATACATTTTGCCTGTCAAGATTAGAAAATGTTAGATGAAAGAAAGTCAAATAGATTACCTTAGAATAGGACTTTTCTGAGCATTTAATATGCTTATGGGCTTGACTATCTTCAAGGAGATGTTTAACGTTCACAGTATTTCCTGCATCTACTTGACCAGAGAAGTTTTGAATGGAGCAGCTCATGGAATGAATGTTCTACAGAACATACTTGGAGAAACATTGGTGTAGCCCACTCCATTCATTTTATTAATGAGAAAATCGAGGTGTGGAGACATGAAGTGCCTTGCTCAGTCTTGCTGTACGTTATTGATGGAGCCAGAATTCGAGGCCACATCTCCTGCCTCTCAGGTGCCCTTTGCTCGGCTGCAGCAAACAATCATGGGTTTGCCTTGTGATGGGTAGCTTGTGAACTGTCCTTTCTGTTGCTTGTACATTGGAGGAGTGTCATCCTCCATCCATATCAAAACCAGATAAATGAAAATGTTTATAAACATTCCAGTGCCAGCTAGTAGGAGAAGCAGCTAAGTAAAGACAAGGGGGAATGACTTAAAACCCAGGCATGTTGGGTGTGACAGAGGCGGCCAGCTTTCTAGCAAAACTTCATGCTCCCCCACCTCACGTACGTAGGCAGGAATGTGACTGTGCAGCCAGGCAGGGCCACGTGGCAAGTTCTTGCTAATGAATGTGCAGCTGGGGTTTTTGAGCAATAAGCTTACTTTCTCCACTCTCTCTTGCCCCTTCTACCAGATGATACCGAAAACTCTGAGGCCCTAGGGAATAGCAAAGCCACGCAACAGAAGGAGGCCTGCTTTCTGGGCCCATGTGTGGAGGAAGGCCAATGCCCTAGCCAGGGAGGATTCTTACCTGAGCAAGAAATAAGCTTGAAATAAGCAAGAAATAAACCACTGAAAGTTCTGGGTTTGAGAACAACAGTTCACACTTCCCTCGTTAGGGTACTGGGAGGTGGAAGAGAAAATGGGGCATAAGAAGAGATGAGGGATGTCAAAAAGTACGTATGGGTTGCTGGATTAAAAGTATGGGGGACACAAAGCTGTGCCACCTGAACCGGGAAAGAACCTGGAACAAAAGAGATTGGCCGTTACTCTCAGGGACTGTGGGGCCCTGCAGACATAGCATCCCTGACACCATGCCCTCCCTCACCCCCACCTCCATCCGATTGCTACATCACGCTGCCTCACCGTACTAAGCATTCGACCTAGTATCTATTAATACTTCTCTCTGTTCCCACTGCCAGGCCCCCAGGCTGAGTCATCTTCATCTTTTGGCTGGATTACTCCAAATGCTCTAATGAGTCCTATAACTCTGTTAGCCACCCCCCTCCCTGGCCCCTCACAGATCCATTCTCTGCCCTGTGGCCAGAATCCTCTTTGTAACACACACTGGTCTTCATGACCCCCTCCCCCACCCCTGGGTTGAACCCCTTCAACTAATTCTCTGTGTGATTACAACAGAGTCCAAGCTCCTTTGTAGGACACACATGGCCCTCCCTGCGGGACACGGCCTCTGTCTCAGCTCTCCCCTCTCCTGTCCTGAGACTCTATACTTCAGCCGGAAGTTAGTACTCTCTCGGCTCCCTGCGTGGGTCACACCTCTCTTTCCTCTTATCCATCACATAAGACACTCCTGCTTCTTGAAATGTCCTTCCCCCCCCTCTCCCTCTCTCCACGTCCTTGTTCCCTCCCTTCCAACAGTTCGACTCCCACCCGACCTAGCTGGCATCCTTTCTGGGAAGCTTTGTTTGACTCCCTCAGACTAGATTAGCTTATTTTCTGTCTGTCCTTAGCACCCTGTTCATGTCCCCATCAAAGGACTTTCATACTCTCCTCTCCCATTGTCTGTCTCTCAGTATCTTCTATCAGACTGATGCTTGGGGGCGGAAACACCTCATTCACCACTGAATCTGAGCATTTCACGGTGGTGGGCACAGAACAGGTGCTCAGTACATTTTTTTCTTTTTGCCCTGGGTGAATGGTTGAGATGGATACCTATTTGGTCCAGGCCTGAAAAAAAAAAAAAGAAAAGAAAAAGTTGTACATTGAGTAATAAACAATGTAAGCTAACTATTAGTAAAAATAGGATCACATCGAGCCAGGCATGGTGGCTCACGCCTGTAATCCTAGCACTCTGGGAGGCCGAGGCGGGCAGATTGCTCGAGGTCAGGAGTTCGAAACCAGCCTGAGCAAGAGCGAGACCCCATCTCTACTATAAATAGAAAGAAATTAATTGGCCATATAATATATATATATATAGAAAAAATGAGCCAGGCATGGTGGCGCATGCCTGTAGTCCCAGCCGTTCGGGAGGCTGAGGCAGCAGGCCTGCTTGAGCCCAGGAGTTTGAGGTTGCTGTGAGTTAGGCTGACACCACAGCACTCACTCTAGCCTGAGAAACAGTGAAACTATGTATCAAAAAAAAAAAAAAAAGAAAGAAAGAAAGAAAGAAAAAAGAAAATAGGATCGCATTTTTTGCATACACTGATTTATTTAACTCTGCTCCATAAATGTTATTTAACATGGTTTTCCAAAGTTGCTGTGTTTGGCTTAAAGGATTTGATTCACCAATTGCTTAATTGTTTATTTATTAATATGTGAGTAGACAAACCAGTACATCTCACTGTCGTTCTCTGCAAGCCAGCACTTGAAGAAACCTGATTGTTTGGTCAGGAGGAATGAAGCACACACAGGGTTAAGAGCTTGGCTCTAGCGTCAAAGATGTCTGGGTTGAATCTGGCCATAAGATTTACTAGCCATGTGATTGTGGGCAATGAAATAATGTTTCCAAAGTCTTTAGCAGAATGCCTGGTACATAGTAAGAGCTCAACAGCAGTAATGATTAATGTTATATCCTCCACAAAAAATTAATATTAATTCTATCATTGTCCTGCCCTAAATTGTTGTTAGACCATGACTAAGGCATCACCAGGAGGTTTGTACACTGTGTGCAGGAAAAGTAACCAAGAAAGACCAGCCTGATGAGGTCATCAGGGAAAACCTAATGCTTCTCATTGGACAGCCAAGAAAAACCCACATTCAGCAAGGTTAGGAGACCTGCTCCTAGTCACGTAGCTAGAAAGGGCAGAGCTGGGACTTAAACCAGAACTTCTGATTCCAAAGCCAGTTCTCTTTCCACTGTACTGCATGGCCTCTGGGCATTAGCATTTCCAGGTCCCACAGGCTTCCAAATTTGTAAGATCAAATGTGCACATGGGGACTGCCTGTTCCCCAGTCTCCGTTCCTAGGTGTTTAGGATGGTCGGCCCATGGGGCATTCTGCATAGCTTCAGAGCTCTGGGATGTGGCTCCCCTCTCCAAGCTGTCCTCTCTGCCCAGGGCACAGACTGGATCTGTGGGGCCAAAGTATCCTTTCACAGAATTATCTTTGCGTCTCCCCCCAGGACTGGGCTGGGATTGCTAGCTACCCTTTACCCTCCAGAAGCCCAGAGACCCCAGGGTTCTTATGCTTGGTAGACATGTACTGTGGAAGCCGAATACACTCACCACTTGAATGAACATCAGGGTGTGCTAAATATCTAAGTATGGTTCTCAGGGAAAACTGCAAAAGTAGATAACACTCACAGTACTTAGAAAGTCATAGACTGTCCAAGCTCCATAGGACCTGAGGCCTCATGTAGTCTTTTTTTTTTTTTTTTTTGAGACAGAGTCTCACTCTGTTGCCTGGGCTAGAGTGCCGTGGCGTCAGCCTAGCTCACAGCAACCTCAAACTCCTGGGCTCAAGCGATCCTCCTGCCTCAGCCTCCTGAATGGCTGGGACTATAGGCATATGCCACCATGCTCAGCTAATTTTTTCTATATATCTTTAGTTGGCCAATTAATTTCTTTCTATTTTTAGTAGAGACAGGGTCTTGCTCTTGCTCAGGCTGGTTTTGAACTCCTGACCTCCAGCAATCCGCCCGCCTCAGCCTCCTAGAGTGCTAGGATTACAGGCGTGAGCCACCATGCCCAGCCTAGTCTTAACTATTTATTTTGCAGAGGAGGAAATCTGGGCATAGAAATGGGCAGGAACAAATATCCAGGCTTTGATGGCAGTGGTTGTGGGGTATGTCCTGGGTCCCATTCCACCCACCTTTCCATCATATCCATGTACATCTTTCCAGAACATTTTCATACTTGGATACCTCGTACAGAGGAGACCAACTGCCCCAGACATGGAAATCTGCTTAGGACATTTCACATCACCCTGGGGAGCCATTTGACACAGGCCATTGTGAGTAACCAGAGACATCTTCTAAAGCAGGGATGGTTTGGTGGGAGAAGACAGGGGACTCCCAACCCTTGGAGACTTTGTGTAATAGGAGCCTTAAGAGAGGCCATATAGGAATGTGGACAATTCTAGGTCTGTCTCAAGAATGGTGCTTATCATTGGTTCTCCAGTGTATGGGGAAATGTGCTGGAGAGGTGAGACATTCATTAAGGACCTTGAGGTGAGCCAAAATGCCAGAATCAGGAGAATGGCTCAGACATCCAGTTGCAGGGGTAGCTCTTGAGTGGGATTGGAGAGTGAATGTTGCCCAGGCACTAGCCTTAGCCTAGTGCTTCTCTGTAGGTGAGAGGGGAATCTTAAATGGATCAAGCTGGGTCGATCAGTTCCTGGAAACTTTGATGTCTTCAAAATCTTACAGCATATTGAAGTCTCAGAACCTCCCAGGGGGTTTCTGAACCAGGATTTGCTCTAGTCAGACAGACAGGGAACATATCAATGTTCTCTATTCTCCACCTCCACCCCATCTTCTGGCCCTCTACTCCCAGTCCTAAGTCAGGGAGAGGCACTTGCAGTGTGGAAATGCAGTATGGCAACGTCAGTGCCATGCCTGAGGGCTAAAGGAGGTCTTTCCATAGCAAAGGGCAACTCACAGACAGCGGAGGGCTGAAAGTGGACCAAATGGGGAAAATTGCCTATCAGCATGCTAAGTTCCACCCCATTTAAGGCAGGAGCCAGTGTCTCTTTATTCTTAAGCCTCCATTATCCCCCTTGGCATCCAGGACATGGAAGAGACCCAATAAACATCTGACGACTGACTAGGTAAATGAATGAGTGAAAGAATAAAGTGAGTGTTCGATTTAACGAGTAGATGAGTGAACTATCTAGGCTACAGAATGACTACTGAAAAACACAAGGGAATTGCAAAACCTTGATAATGCACGCATAAATTTGCATGAATTCTATGACGGAGAAAGAAGTTCATCTGTTTATATAATTCCTGTCTATACAGCATTTCTTGTCTGCTCTTTTCTGAAATCTGTAAAACAAGAAACCTTTAAATTAACTATTTTGTTCTCTGAATGTTTAAAATAACTTTCTAATGTTACTCCTTTCATTTCTCTAGCTAGTTGAATATTTATTCCAAATGAGTTATTTTTCACTTACACTCTCTCAGTGCCCTGTGGTGTAGTCCCTGCCTGGCCTTGTCACCACCATAGTCATTAACACCCTGGTATGAAAGAGGCAAATGGAAATGAGACAGTAAAGTGGCAAAGAGAGGGTTCTGGAGGCGGGCACCCCTGTTATCCTGGGGCCTGAGTCCACCACTTAACAGAGTGACTTTGCACAAGTTACTTAGCCTCTGGATCATAATGAAATTTACTTGTCAGTATGATCATGTGTAATCCTGTAAGGAAAGCACTTTGCGTTGTGTTTAGCACAGAGTGAATGCTCAATAGGTTGTAGTTATTGATACTGTTATATTGTATTGTTATACCATTGCATTACATTACATCATATAACATCATATCATTATCAATCGTATCTTATCTTACGCAGTAGTATGATGCCGATTGTGACCTTGTAAAACCAGCGTTTATGGATGTGTGGGCCAAAGTCACATTCTCCATAGAGATCTCCAAACACCTTCTTAACTTTCTTCTCCTAACTCAGGTCACCCTTTATCACTCTCTTATGCACATCCTGAAAGGAGAGCCCAGTGTTCTTTATGGAGAAAAATCAACTTGCTCTTTCTCTGACATAACATTCAGCTACATCCGTGGCCGGGCTGTCCTGGCTTTCCTGAAACGTGTCCCCCTTCTTCCCATGCACAAAGGCCATCTGGGTGCAGAGTCCTGATGTGAGGCTTGTGTTTGAGGAAGGAAAAACCACTTCAGATCTCATTTGTTGACCTGACTTTCACCCTTCCTCTCCAGCATTCCACACTCCCACTCAAAAAAACAAGCTGAATTTTAAAGTTGGTTGGAATTGTGAAAGCTTAAGGTTATTAGAGCTCAAGGGTAGGGCCAGGGCTGGGTCTGACGGCTCATTTTACTCTCTGCACGGAGGCAGTCAAGGCCACGGCAGTGTCAGGGAAAGGCCAGAGTTTTCTAGTAGCCTTGGCTGTTGGCCTTATGCTAGGGAGGGGATGTGGAGAAGACGTGGCACTGATATGGAAAATGCCACCTCCCCGCCACTCCGAGGGCCAGCACCATGCGTAGCCAGTTGGAGGGCGAGCTGTTGGTGTGGCCCCGAGGCAGAGAGCCGCCTGGGGCCCTGCTTTCCGGAATGCCGCTGCCTGTTTCCGGCCACACTGCTTGCGTGATCCTGATTGGGTAATTTTTGAATCCTACTGTTTTTGATTGGATGTTAAAGCTTATTGTTGATTGGATGTTAGAGCTTGTTGCTGATTGGACGCTTTTTGAGCCCTACCAAGGGTATAAAAGCAGGAGGAGCACAAGGAAGGGGGAGCGGAAGGGTCAGAATATCGGAAGACGCTAAGAGAGCTGTAGCACTAGGTGTGCTGAGCCTGCTGTGGAAGAATAAAAGCTGTTCTCCGACTCTTCGGTAATTTCCCCGGTCAAGAGCTGTAACACTAGCTGTACACATTGCCACAACAGCACCAAGCTGTAGAAAATAAGGTACATTGACTCACACATCTCCACACTTAACCCTGTGGCAAATACTTTTGTTTAACTTCTCCTCTTCTCTTTCTTTCATCTTTTTCTTTAGGTTATAGGATCCTAATTTTTTAGGAGGTGGCAACATGCTCAAAGAAGATGAAGCCCTTCCGCTAGCCTAAGAGGATGAAGCATGACTGGCTTATGCCAAGCATAACAATCTCCTTCCCCTTATCCCAGGACTGATTCTGGAGTGGACAACTGACCCAGTCCTGACTAAAGAGAACAAAGGGGTGATCTCTGGGTCAGTTCTTCTCAGAAGATTTTTGTTTTCTGCTGTGAAGAGAAACAGCAAGTTTCTTCCTACCTGACTTAAATGCAATGGCATGAAAATATGGTGCTTGGAGCTACAGCAGCCATTTTGTGACCAGGAGGCAACAAGCCTAGGGCAAAGGAAGCATAGTGAAAAGACAGAGTGTAGAGTATTATCATTGAACTGCTGGACCGATCTGGAATCATCTGCTTGTAGACGTTCATGAATAGTGAGCTGATTAAAACTTTCTATTGTTTCAAACATTATTTCTTTTCTGTTACTTGCAACCAAAGACTTGATACAAACTCTATCCAACTTGTGTTGTAATTTTATCTATTTTCATGTCTTTATGTTCTATCGTACTGATTTTTGTATTCCTGGCACTGAATATAAATCTAGAACTTAATAAGACTTCAACACATGCCTGTTTAAAATGGTGTTATGTGATGAAAACTTCTGAAGTTGCTGAAATATGAAGATCAGGATCTAATTTTAGGCTCTGTAAAATTCTTCCTTCCCTCACTGCCAGGGAATTCCTTATTTCGGCCTGATCCTACGTTTACTGGAACAAAAGAATGATTGAGAAGGCCTATGAGAAATGACTGGGATAGTGACGATTGCTAAGAAATAGCTCTTAAGAATTCCCAGAAATTCCCATCAGGCACATTTAGACCTTATTCTCTGACTGTTTCTAAGTCCAAATCAGTGTACAGAATCAATGAAATATTTAAAGTGGCATTGTCCTAGAATATCTAGGACGTGCGTTTTGTACATTTAGTAAGCATTTATTTAACATCTCTTATTTACCAGGCACTTATTATTCGTTGGGGATGGAAGATGAATAACCACACAGCCTTTATCCTTGAAAAGCTCACAGTGACAAAACAGGGTTAGTGGCCTAAGTAGAGGTACTTACAAGTCTTAAACCCAGTCCTCTTAGCATAGCATGGTGCCACCACTGAGTTAATTAAGAAAACCAGATTCCTACGTCTATATCTTTGTTGGAAATGCTGTCCCTGAAAACTTCTCGAGCTTGGTCCTCCCCAGCTGAGTTTGTTGTGGGAGGTGATTTTCTGCTGCCATCACTCAGGGTCCCAAATACTTGCCCCATATTTTCCATATGTACCCACGTTCAGAGTACTCCCTCTGCATGGTTTACTTAGAACAGCTATGTCAAGGGGAAAACAAGTTGGATAATTGGATGAAGATTTGGGGGATCGCTTTTTTGTGGGGGAGGATTATGAGTGGTGCCTTGCTTTCCTGTGCATCAGCAGTTAAAAAGAAGGAGAACCCATTGTCCTTCTTAGCTCGCTGTGACTTCTGAACAAGGGCAGAGCTCTTGTGCTCAGCATCTCTGGTGCATCAGCCTCCAGGCTGTATCTCAGTTGCGCATGACATACAAGTGCACAAAGGTGCCAAAATTAAGAATTATTAATTTCCCCACTGGTCTGCCTTTTGCAGAAATTTCCACGACTGATTTTGCTATCCCTCCTTCCTAACATCTAAGCCTTCCTGCCCTCCCTGACTCATCTTTCCCCCCCAACCTTCTGCTCTCTAGTCATCAAGCTGGTTGCCCCAGTTGTATTTTTTTCCTGGAGATGCATGGATTCCAGAGCCTGACAGTTTGGGAATGAATCTCAGCTCCTCCACTTAGCTGTGGGATTCGAGTTACTCCCTGTGGCTCAGTGTCTCCACGTGCAAGATGGAGATTTACCGCATTTGCTACCAGAATTATCATCGCGGGCTTTCCGCCTAGCAGCTTGCATCACTCACACCCCCTTAGCTCGCCTCCTGCTGTAATTGTTCACCATGCAGACTCACCTTTGTGGAACCACAGTATTTAAGACTCATTCTGCTTCTGGGTTTATGTACTTCTCAAAAAGTCATCAAGCTGTGTACTTACTATTGGTGTCCTTTTTCGGCTTATTTTTTGTACTTCAATAAAATATTTACTTAAAATTTTTACATTTATGTTAAACCCACTGAGCCAGACAGGGCTTAGTTTCTCACTCTGTTCTTTTGTAATCCTCTCTCTAATCCAAAGCATTATACATGCATATATACTTATTAGAAAGATTCCATAGAACAGCAACATCTAAAAATCAAAAACGATCCATTCTCGGCACTCAGAGACAATTACTGCTAAAATTTTGAAGGTGCATATCATTTTTTTACAGTAAAAATGAAATCATGTATTAATAATCTTTTATAACCTTTTTGATGTACTCTACTTGTAAATTCAAGAATATTATTTTTAAAGGCTGCATTATATTCCATCGAATGGCCATAGCACACTTAATGAACCAATCCCTATTTTGGGAGACATAGATGGTTCCAGAATTTAGCAATGCTGCTATGAGCAGCTTTGGAGCTAAATCATTGCACTGTGCTGGGGTTTCAGTCAACTCACATTTCAATTATTCTCACCACTCCTTCCAGCCTCCTTTAGGCTTCTTGGTCTTGAGGGAATTCAGGATTGCTTTATTATGCACTCCATCTTCTGGACTTTTCTTCTGAAAGATTTATGTTCCACTGAAACAAATAATGGGCTTGATAGAGCTATTTTCAATGATATGAGGGGAAGGGACAGAGGCACTTTGAGTCACAAAACCCAGTCGCTGGAGTGGGTGGGCACAGGGGACCTGGGGCTCTCAGACCTCTGCCACACAGGAGCCCCGCTGCGACTCACAGCTGGCGCTTGCTTCCTGCGTGTTACTTGCAGTGTTTCTACGGTGCTAATGACTGCAAATTGCTAATGGCTGTGAAAAGCTAATTGTTGTGCAAGGTGTTTCTCTCCCCATTGCCAGGGGAGTGCACAGTCATGGCTAAACAGAGACTCATTAGCGCCCCTGACACAGTCATCTGGGGAATCCTCCCAGCAACCTGGCAAATAACCAAGCCTCCCCCGACCCACAGCCAGGAGAAGGCTTTGTGCCTGGCCAGCAACAAGGAAAAAAAAAAAAAAAACAAGGGAGGCAGGATCTAGAAAGCACTTCCCAGGAGAAAACAAAGGAAGCAGGACGCTGTGTGCTGCGTTTCAGTTGTAGAACCGAAGAAGTGGGAAGGACACGGGCTTTGTAGGCAAGTCTCCTAATATCACACCAATGCAGTGGCTGAAATGTGCTCCGCACTGTGCAGGGAGCTTCCCGGCTTTTTCTGTCTTAATCGCCCCCATTTTTCAGAGGAGAACATTGAGGCTCAGGGAATGACCAATTTTCCCCAAATCCATTTCACTCCAGAGGCCAGATTCTTAAGCACCACGTAATAGTACTTCTTGAAAACTAGTGGGCCATCCTCCGGGCCTTGCTGGGGTGTCTGTGTGTGTTTGTGTGCACAGACACATGAGGACAGAAAAATATTAGAAGACTAAATTTAATTCATTATGGTCCATGATTATCTCATGAAAGGTGGGCTGGTTAAAAAACAAACCACCACCAAGCCCATGTTGGCTGATGAATGTTCCTTTCTTCTGGATTCCTTTCAATAAGGTGCAATGCCTCCCTCTGCTTCCACTGCCATCCTGTATTCTAAGCTATGCACTCAAAAAAGTCTGTTTGGTTGATGACCTATTGTATACTTGTCGTTTGACTTGAATCTAACAATTTATCCGATAAGGCAAACTTAGGCACAGTAATGCTTGTTTGAATTCATAGTGCTGCAAGTTTTTCCGACTTCTTTATGGACTCATTAGAATTATTCAGCTGGAGGTATGAGTTTCAGAACCACCTCCTCCCTTCCCACCCCACATTCTTTCAATGTGCCTTTCAACCTATGCCTTCTTTTTCCCCGGGCACTACAATCATCTGTTGCTTTGTGCTAGTAATTTCACACACAGAATTGTGTTTCCAATTCTGTATGGCTTTCTCAAAAAGAAATTGAATCGACAGCAATAGAAAGGGATGGAGAAGCTATGTCTGGCATTGACATGAGACTGTTTGCTCGAGTTCATCCTACACACTCCTTGAAAAACAAAGCGGAGGGCCCAGTCCTTTGGGAATGGCAGTCTGCTAATGCAGGACCGAGAAAAGGAAAACACTGCCATTTACAGTTGCAGGAAAAGTTGCCTGGGCAACGCAGAGACTCAGGGGATGAAGAACTGGCCTCACCTGCCATCCTTCCTGTTCTTTCCCCTGCCTCATTAGCTTAACAGAGATAGCAGCTGCCTTTATTGGCTTGACAATTAACAGGGCAAAGAACTGGCATTAAAGTTAATGTTAAACTCTCAACCGACTCAATCGGATCAATAATGAGATTTGTTATGAGCAAAAAATTTAACAACGGAGGAGTCCATGTTATTTCTGACTCCTCAGGAAGTGGCATGTGCTGCTTGTGACTGACAAACTAGTCCTGACATTATTATTGCAAGCAGGTGATTTAGTGCAGTAAGAGAACTTGATGCAAATGATGTAATCTGAGAGTTAAGAGAGAAAGCAAAGGGGCAGGCTCCTGGAAAGAAAATGGCCCCTCCAGAGAGTCAGTCCCTTTGGTTCTCTCAGGTCTCAGCCCAGGGTGGGTTATGTCAACTCAGGCTGACCACAGAGCAGCCCCTGTCATTCTCGTTGGTCATCATGGACCAGAGTGAAGAAGTGAGGATAGCCTATTTCCAGTGTTGCTAAGCTGACAATTGCCAACAATTGCCAACAGCTGTCACTCCCTGGTTGCAAAAGGACAGGCCTATCACATGAGAAGGACCCTCCCTAGAATTGCACGTGGGAAATGGAAGGCCTTCCTGCACCAGCTGAGCTCACAGTGAGGGTAGGAGCCACAGTTTGCAACTGACTTTGGTAAGCTGAATACGTCTTTGTGGTTTCTTCTTGCTAGAGTTTGGGATGAGGCCAAAGACAGTCATGATTCCTAGAAGAAGAACCTCTTCCCCTTGTGTAAATGACAGCCATTTAGGAGACAACCAATAGTAATCTCCTCCCTCAAATCTGTTTTCCTGAATTTCTTTTCTTGGTGAAAGTTTCTACTCACTATCATTTGCCTAAGCCGGAAACTCAGCACTCACTCAACATTTCTTTTCCCTTCACTACAGCTAATCCAAATCAAGTAGTTCCTACCTTTTTAAAATTCCTTGCATTTTCTCTTCTCCATTCTCACTTTTTCTTTCCTGACTCAGGATGCTATCTTTTCTTGCTTAAATCACTCACTAGTTACTCAAAGCTCTCCCTGCCTCCAGGCTTGTCACCCTCTATGCTACAGCGTGATTTTTTTTTTTTTAAATCCAAATCTGATCATGTCACTTCACTGTTAAAAAATATTTGGCAATCCTCCAAAGCTTTAAGGATGAGGTTCGAAATCTTTAGTTTAGCATAAGCCAAATGTAAAAACCAGACATTTTACCCACCTTGTTGTAGTAGGGTGTAGAAGTCCCTGAGCCACAGGTAAATATCTGATATTACCTTCTTGAGATGGTAGGAGAACAGGGAAGAGCTGTTCAGGTGCTAGCTATGTGGTTAGATATAAGAATTGGGTTCTACAGGGCCAAAGCTAGGATGAGAAGTTTCTATCCTAGTAGGGTTGTATTATGGACTGAATATTTTTGTACCCCCACCCCCAAATTCACGTGTTGAAATTTTGATGCCCAGTGTGATGACAGGAGGAGATGGGGTCTTTGGGCATTGTTAGGTCATGAGTGTGCAGCCTCATGAATGGGGTCAGTGCCTTTATAAAAGGGACTTCAGAGAGCTTACACTCTTTCTACCATGTGGGCTTACAAGGAGAAATCAGCTGTCTGCAACCCAGAAGAGGGCCCTCAACACAGGCCAACTAAGCTGGCACCTTGACCCTGGATTTCCAGCCTCCAGAACAGTAAGAAAGTAATTTTCTTGTGTATAAGCCATCCAGTTTATACTGTGTTATAACACCCTGAACTAAAGCAGGTTGCAAATAAGATATAGGATGAAAAGTTAAGCTTGAATTTCAGAAAAAATAATGAATAATTTTTTAGATTATGCTTCATACCACATTTGTTTATCTGGAGTCCAAATTTAACTGGGTATTCTGTTTTTTAATTTGCTAATTCTGGAGACCTGGGATTATAGCACAGAGGATGGGGTAGATGATGAGGGTGGGGGAAGCTCCCCGGAGAGACAGTAGGAAAAATCTAAGGTTCAATATAGAAAAGGACTGCTGGTTAAGTTTGGTAGATAAACACACAGGCCAATGTCAACTCCATCCAGAAAAGTCTCCAAAATAATAGAAAATGAAAATAAAACCCATAAATAACTTCTCAAAAGGAGACAGAATAATGGCCAACAAACATACGAAAAAATGTTCAACATCTCTAATCATCAGGGAAATACAAATCAAAACCACAATGAGATATCACTTAACTCCAGTGAGAATGGCTTTTATCAAAAAGTTCCCAAACAACAAATGCTGGCGTGGAAGCGGAGAGAGAGGAACACTCCTACACTGCTGGTGGGACTGCAAACTAGTTCAACCTCTGTGGAAAGCAATATAGAGATACCTCAAAGTGATACAAGTAGATCTACCATTTGATCCAGCAATTCCACTACTGGGAATCTACCCAAAAGATCAAAAGTCACTTTATGAAAAAGACACCTGCGCTTGAATGTTTATAGCAGCACAGTTCACAATTGCAAAGCTGTGGAAACAACCCAAGTGCCCATCAATTCATGAGTGGATTAATAAAATGTGGTATATGTACACCATGGAGTACTACTAAGCTTTAAGAAACAATGGTGATATAGCACCTCTTGTATATTCCTGGATACAGCTGGAACCCATTCTACTAAGTGAAGTATCTCAAGAATGGAAAAACAAGCACCACATGTACTCACCAGCAAATTGGTATTAACGGATCAACACCTAAGTGGAAATATAGTAGTAACATTTATTGGGTGTCGGGAGGAGGGGAGGGGGAGGAAGGGACGGGTATATACAACCACAACAAGTAAGATGTGCAACGTTTGGGGGATGGACACACTTGAAGCTCTTACTCGAGGGGGAAGGGGGTTTGGGCAATATATGTAACCTTAACACTTGTACCCCCATAATACGCTAAAATAAAAAAAAGAAAGAAAATAAAACCCATAAATTATGAATAAAATGGGAATAGAGCATGGCAGTAGATGACAGGTTTCAAAAAATTTTGGATTTTTTGAATCCAAAAATAATATATCAATGATAACTGGTTTAGCATAATGGAGAAAGATTGAAGAGGGGAGAAGTTGCTTAAGCTGCAAAAATCTGGAAAGGGGCACCGGGGCCCTGAGAACAAATTGAGATGTGGGGGATTCGTTGACCATCTGTATAAGAAGTGAGTGGTGCCCAGAGGCCTTCACTATGCTACTATGCTAAGAAGAAGTGAGAGGTTTACTGGGGATATGAACCTGAGAGGTCCCAGTGTTAAGCACACCAGGCACAGAATAGAATGAAATATCATGCTAAAAACTAAGTAATTCAGTAAAAATAATCTACATTGTAAATGGTGAGATCCCCACTCAGATCCTCCTCCTGCTGGGTTTTCAGATTGCTGACATTCTAGCTTAAGGACAATATTTGCAAGCAATTCACCAGCAAAATTACTGGGTCCCCAACTGATCAAACCAGCCCTGTCCATGCTTACAGACCATCCATTCAGCTTCCTAGTGACACATTCTCAGCCAAGACAGATAGCCAGAGATGGCTGATATTTAAGGAAAATCTCCTACAATGGGAGACAGACCCTTAAATAAACAGGAAAAGATAAAAGGTACTTGGAGAAAAGAATAGTCCTATACGAAAATTTCAAAAAATTATTCTCAGAGAAGTAATGTAACATTTTGCATTAATGAAACAATAATAGGATGCTATTTTTTGAAAAGGACATTCAAAGCAAGAAATAACAAATAGAGACTAAATTTAACAGAAATAAAATATTTAGTAAAATAATTGGAAGACAACTTAAAAAAAAAACCTCAGAAAGTAGAATAAATGATCAAAGATGTGGATAAGAAAAGACATAAAATTAGAGTAGCAGTACAGAAGATCAAACACCTACCCAATAGAAATTCCAGGAAGAGAAGAGAGAAAAAGGAGAGGAGGAAATTATTATTGGAGAAATAAAACAAGAACATGAATATCCTTTTTGAAAGGGTCCATCAAGGGCTTAAAACTATGAATTAAATCATAGCACAGACATATGAATATACTTAATGCCACTGAACTGTACACTTACAAATGGTTACGATGGTAAATTATGTTTATATGTGTTTTACCACAACTAAAACAACAACAAAACACATCAAGATAGATTATCATTGATACCAAGGACAAAGAGACGATCCTAAAAACCTTTTAGAGCCAGTTGAGAACAAGAACAAAAGAGATCTCATAGAAAATGTCAAGGATCAGAAGTAGTGTCTGACTTCAGCCACCGTGAAGGTTAGAAATCATTGGGAAATGCCTTCAGAACTCTGAGGGAAAATTACATCCAGCCAAAGAACTCAATCTCCTGCTTAAGTAGCAATCCAATCACTTGTGAGGGTAGAAGGTAGACATGTTCAAATATGCAAGGGAATAAAGGAATTGGGTCTGAAATGCACAACAGGCTCATCCTGAGCCAGTGTGAGACAGAACGGTTGGCTGATGTTCAAGCTTCCTTACTTCGGTCTAAAAATTGCAGGATGTACTGCCCAAAAGCGCTCAGTCCTCCCCTACCTCATGAAATCATGACTTACCCTTGTGATAGAATTAACTTTCTGTCCCCCGCAGCCTTGCCCTAACAGATAACGAAACTCACAACAGTTCATTCCACTTATCCCTTCACGTGCTGGTCTTCCCACTTAGGGCGTCAGTTCATCTCAGTTTCTCTGACACCAAGTAGAGTTTAGTTCAATACTAAACTCTCAGGTGAGTATTTGGTGGATGAATGGATGTATGGATGGCCTTTAGGAAAAAATAATGTTATCCAAATTCATAGCCATAGGAAAGAAAGGCTCTCCATACTGACTCCAGGTGCTAAAACAACAAACAAACAAACAAACAAAAATCCAGACAACTTCATCCTAAATCTCCCCCAAAGAACAGAATGCCCATATTCATTTATTCAACAAGTATGTACTGAGCATGGTAAGCTATACTCTAGTTGGGTCTATATGGAATATTAGATGATGGATTCTGCCATCATCTAATGTCTAATTTTAGTTGGGGAGAAATAATGTGTGTAGCAAAGCAATGCTAAAAGAAGTATATAATAATATAAGAGACGTCATAAAGTGGTGTCAAAGCAGAATTCCAAATGATGAGTTCAGAATGGGGAGGTTACTGTGGGCTGTAATAATCAGAAAAGGCTTCAAGGAGGAGGTAGGACTTGAGTTGACCTTTAGCAGATAAGATTCAGATCAGTAGAGAAGACTGGAGTATTCCACCCAGGGACACAGCTGAGAACCAAGCAGGTGGGATGGAGCAGGCAGCTGGTGTCAGCCATCGTGGGTAGTGACACTGAACTACGAGAACACACGTTGGAGGACCAGAATGCCACAGCAAGAGGGTTGGGTTTTATCATGGGGAGCCATAGGTGAAGACGTCCCCAAACTCTAGTTTCTCATTAATTTATAACCACACAGAAATGGCAACTCTTTCAGCCATATTTTCATAGCCTCCTATACACATGTTGCCGATAGCATACCTAGTAGCACAGTGAATGATGATGACCTGTTTATGTGGCTGCCTTCCCCGCTAGACCAGATCTTAAGGGCCAAAGCTGTCATTTTTACCATTAGTTCTGCACTGCTTAGCACAGTGCCATGGGCTTAGTGGGCGCCCCGCATATACCTGTGGAAGGAATAGTGAGAGGATGGTGGGGGCCGAGACAGACTCAGTGCAGGGAGAGGTGCATGGTGCCTTTTCTGTGCCATCTCCTTCTGCCACCACCTTCAGTGGTCACCAGGACTCCTTCCTATACCTTAGTGTTGTAAAAACTCCAGTACTGGGGGGAAACGCTGATGTTTCATGCTTCTAACCACTCAAGCGTCAGCCCAGAATTAGAACCCAAAGTAATCGCACCAAGCTTTGTGTCCTATGCTATTTATTCTCCCTTTCCTTTCCCCTCCTCCTCTCCCCCTCTCCCCCCCTCTCTTCCTACCTCTCCCCTCCCCCCCTCCCCTTTAAATAGACTTAGGGGGAACCGAGGGGGTTTTTGTTACATGGCTGAATTGCATAGTGGAGAAGTCACATTGTACCCAACGCTATTCTTTAAGGCAGCACTACTAGACTGGAAGAATGATTGCCCTGTCCTGACACATGCTTCGGTGAAATCAGCTCCTTAAATCCTGCAAAACAGCTTAATAAGGCAAATATACCCCCTACCCACGTTACTTCCTCGTGGCCCAGAAGAGAGCTATCTCCCCTTTACATAAATATATATGACTTAGCTCCTAGATTGGAGAATTCTGCTGCCAATTTAGCATCTGTCAATTCCCAATCCCTCACCAAAGCCATCTAGCAGTAGGAGCTGAGTGTCTGCTTTCTGTTTCCCAAGCAGTCTCTCTGCTCTGCTAGGAGCTCTGCCCACTCCTGGGAAGTGACAGGAGCTACATAAAAATGGCTCGGGTGGCAGAGTACATGCCGTGCTGGGAGGGTTGACCGGATGCCTTCTCTGCATCTTTAATTTCTGTAATTACCACTGGGGGAGATACATTCAGTTTCATTCCTAGAAGATGTAACACAAAGTAGCCTTTAAAAAATCTCCTGAAGATTAGTGCATTACCTTGTTTTCCCTCAAGTAATGAACACACAGCTCCTAGCAGTTACAGCTTTGTGAGTTCTATCCTGAAATAGTACCACAGCCAAATGTAATTAAA